ATGGCTAAGGCGCGGCCGATCGCCTGCGGAAGCGCACAGTCTCGGCCACAAGCATCTCCACGGCATCGACGTGGCAGGACCTTGATGTCGAAATGCCCCCCCCCCCCCCCAAATTCCTCGATTTTCTTTCCTTCACGGCATTTCTCGGCCCTCGGCATGTTCTTGAGCTGTTTCTTATAAAAGGCAAGTAGGAAGCCTGAACGGCGCCGCCGGAAGAATCCAAACAAGTGGCTTGGTGTTCAAACGTACTTTGCCCAAAAGATGCTTGCCACTCGCCTTCCACTTGCAATCATCTCAAAAAAGTTTGAACTACGTGGTGTCTGCGGCCCAAAGAGGCGAATACCAACGAGAGTCTGAGCACGACCACTGGCAGCTTTGGAGCGGTGCCATGGTTTTCCAGCTCGCTTTGCACGGCTTGCTGTCTGGATTCCCAGGACAGGCATCTTGAGCAACGGAGAAGCTGAGGCCCTTACGTCTTTTGCTTGGGATGGTGCAGGAGGGCAGAAGTCCGACCGCCTCTTCCTTGGACCCATGGCAGGCGCAGAGCAGCAAGGGGTACTGGGCGTCGGCGATTCCACAAGTCAATCCCCCTTGCAATTGGGACTCCCCCTGGTAGAAGTGTTCCTTCGGTTCAATTTTCGGTTTCGGTTGGTTGCCATGATTTTTGTTTTGCGGAGTCATCGTTTCGATTCGCGATCCTTTGCGTTTCTGGCGATGATGCAGGCTGAGAAGGCAGTTTGGCAGCCCGCCCGTAGAAACGCTCACAAGCCCGGATGTGTACCCCGGCGCAGCTGTGCTGGCTGGAAATGCTTTGACCTTTCCGCAGCGCTGATGCTTTGATATGCTTTGATGTCTTGCCCAAAAGGCCAAAGTTTGCGGTCAGAAGGGAAGGACGGTTCATGATTGGCTTGGGTGCCACATGCGGCCACATGTTCGTAGGCCACGGAGACCGAGATGCCGGACTTTGGAGTTTTGGGGCAGGCTCGTTGGGACGCAGTGTTGTGTTCCATGCCAGCTGTGCCCACAAAATGATTTTCACTTGCCTTCTGCTTGAGACCACCTCAGCACGGAGTGGAAAGCGTGGTGTCTGCGGATTTTCCAAAGAGACAATTGCCAATGAAAGTGTGAGCAAGACCACTGAAAGGCGGGAAGGCGGCATGGTTTTCTCAGCTCGCTTTGAGACACAGCCATTGTTGGGATTCGTAGGCAAACGTGGTGCGCACTTGAGAAGCGATGGGGAAGCCTTTTGGCCAAGGACGGTGGAAGTCCGAAAAGCCAGTGGCAGGCGCACAGCAAGCGTGGCCCACCGGACGTCGACCCAGCCAAATGCATTTTTCCGGGGCTTTCCCACCGAGAGAGAGAAAAGTTCCCTTTGCAGTGGGACGTTCCCTTTTTAGCCAACCAGCAAGGATTTTTCCTGAGGGAGACCGCAGACTCCCGCCCCAAAATGGTTTGAGCTGGGGAAGCAACATGTGCGCATGGCCACATGTGTGTTTTGCTTAAAGTACCATCGCCCAAACTTCTCGTGGCCGATGCATCGCATATGCGGCCATGGCCAAATGTTTCGCAGGCCACGCCAGTCCCGGAGACCGAGATGCCGGACTTTGGGGCCTTTGGGCAGGCTTGCTGGGATGCAGCTATGTTCCATGCAACGCAGCATGCCAGTGGGCAAGCGCGCTGTGCGCGCAAAATGCTTCTTGCACTTGGCTTCCGCTCCCAAAGAGATGATGACCGATGAGAGCCTGAGAAAGACCACTAAACCCAGGAAAATGGATTTTGAGGTTGGCGGTGGGTGGAATTCCTATTTCCAATCCACTTTTAAGTAGGCTTCAGGAACAGGGATTCCTCCAGGAGCCCCACTTCCACATCCTACATCCGTACCTGCGCTTGGCGATTCCTGGCCTGCCGTCAAGCGTGGAACTGGTCTTCCTGTACCCCTTGTGCCTGCCATTTCGGGCAAGGGGCTGCTCAACGGCTGGGTCAGACTGCAGGCGGTTGTGATACCGGCCGCCGGCTGGAATAGCAAGCAAGCTGGTCACAGCGCAGACGGTCTACCGACCGTGGGTTAGGTTTAGGGTGGGTTTGGGGTGGGTTTGCTTTGGGGGGGTTAAGGGGGGGGGGGGGAGCGTGTTTGCTTGCCGGGTGCGGGTGGGAAAAGCCCCAAAACATATGGGGGCTGTCCGTAATTGTATGTCTAAAACGTACGAAAGGCTGCCGAGTGGACCGCGAAAGGGCAACAAAAGTATATAACATTATCATGAACTTAGACGGTGCATACTGCTGAGAGGAGGAAGGTGAGCGCCCTTACCGGAAATACACCCCAGGCATAGCGATACTTTGCACGCACATGTCCAGCTCGCCCGTTTTCCAAAACATATTTCTACGCAATGCTACCTTTGTTGAGCAATGCGCATGTCAGCTGAGAGGGCATCGCTTGGGCATGGTCGCATGTTTAGCTCAAGCTGTTCTTGGGCTCATGCAATACGCCAGAATATTCTCCTTCATTGTTCGGCAGGCTCTTTGGCAGGTGCGTGATCTGTAAAGTAGGACCGTGCCCTGCCCAGTAACAATCGGCAAACAGTCGTGACATGAACATGCCCGCTGCGAAAGGTGCAAGAGGATTGCTTTGGTGCTTGGCGGAGGGCCTAGCTTTGGCAAAGGTTTGTTTGTGAAGTTGTGCTGGGCACCGGTTGACAGAGGCTTCAGCTTTCGGCTTGAACTGCCAGGAAGAGCGATGAGATCATGTTCCTTAAACGAAACCAGGGTTTTCCGCACCTGCGGCGCATCGCTGAGGCCACCAGTGACAACATGGAGGCGCGCAAATGGCGGCCCTCACCAGACCGGTGTGAGAATCTGCCGGTTTCGGGGGAGCTTCTCGAGAGGGCTGTCATTTCAGCCGCAACAAGAATCAAAAGGGCACGGAGGCTGTGGGTGGTGGTCGTTTTCCTGGTTACAAAGCAGGCGTTGGGCATGTTTCCAGACACTGTGTTCCACTCCGGCATCATGGAAAGTGAGCGTTCTTGAACTGCAGCTTGCGACAGCGCTAGCCCATGAGCGTAGGCAGTGCCGCACAAAGTCCTTAGGCTTGGACACCTGGCCAGCAAGGGCCAGTGTCCTTGGACCTGTTACTAATCCTCAGAGTGAGCAATCCTCAGAGTGTTGGCGTAGGGTCAGCACGACGTTCGTACGGCCCAAGACGCTTGGACGATTGGGGAGCGCGCTGCCAGGTCGAGCGCGCATTCTTTCGACATGTCATGACTTGCTGGGCTTTGCTTGGTTGTTCGGAAGACTGGGCAAGGTACTGGCTCAGCAGTGTTTTGCTTTCGCTCGCAGGAGCGTCGACGTGAAACATCGCAACATATTATGACTGACGCTGACTGCTATTGGTCTCGTTTGCGTCCGCACATCCTTTTGCAGTCACTGGCACAACCTCAGCGCCTATGACTACAGCGCCTACTGTTGGGAAGGCAGAGTGGGCTTTTGGCAAAATATACCAAGAATCCTGAAGATCCTGCAAGTTGCGGGTGGCAGGGTACCATCATGTACAAGTCATGAGGGTTACTGCGTCGTCACGTTCAAGCCCCCTTTCCCGTTGGCCTTTCATGCCAGTGAAACAATGCCACCACTTGCGTGACTGCCCAGTAGACTTGCCAATATTTGCCAATGCTTGATGATTCTTGCAACGATGCCGGTCTCATGTTGTTGCTTCTGCCTGCAGAAGCGACGCAACGGGTGCCAAGGCTTCAAAATGCTAGTGATGTTTCCAAAAAAAGGACGCGACTGGCACTTGTGCCATGATTCCAGTGTTGCCTGGCAAGCTGAAAAAGCTAGTCATGCCGGTGACCACACGGGCGCACCCCCAGCAACAAGACCTGAGGCAGACCAACCTAAGAAGGAGAGATGCTTTTGATGAAACGATCCTTGTTGGTGTCGCAAGCGGCATCTCTGAAAGTACTCGCAAGGTAGTTTTTGGGTGGCGCAACAAGCAGAGGAATACCTCCAGGAATTGAGGCATTCATTGAAACCCATCCAACGGATTTTTGCTGGAAACACCAACGAATCTAGCGAGCGCTACGACACGCCGACGTTGCATCAGCTGAAAGTCTTAGCCTTCAGCCTTGCCAGGCTGGCTAGGCCAGTGGCCTTCGCAGCCGGAGTTGACTGCGGGGCCCATCCATCGCATCTTGGACACGCAAAACACGTTTTTCGAGGTACTAGTAGCCTTGGGACAGGGTTTGGATCGGGGGTTGGGGTGGCTGTTGAAGCTGTCTCCGCACTCAGCAATCGGCAGTCGACATCTGTTTTCGTCTGCTGAGGATCGAACGCGACTCGGAACCGCCGATCTGCAAAGCAGAGCCAGCGGAAATGACATGCTAATGCGGCGTGGCAGCCGGAGCAACGTGTCAATCTAAGTGCCTTCATTTGGGTGTCTCTCAAAAGGGTCTACCACAAAATGGCTGGGGTTCCTTTTCGCTTCCCTTCAATCCAGCCCACAAAAGGTAGCCTCAAAAACACATGCCCATTTGAAGCGCGGCTGCCGCTCTGCCTGCCAACGCTTATACAGATGGGGCAAAGCTATTGCTTGCCTGAGTGGCCTTTGCACCAGCACGAACCGTGTTGCGGGCGCTCAATGGCCCGGCTTGTGAGCCTGCAAAAGCTTTTTTGTTGCACTGCGCGCGCCTTCCAGATTCCAGTTGCCCAGTTGCAAACCCACATCAACTCGCGAAGACGCCGCGTGCAAGGAGGTTCTTGAGCCAGGGCAGGCCCGTGTTTGCCAACGCAATGCAGAGGCCGCTTTTGTGTAGTTCTGCGTCGTAAGACAATGGAGGCGCCTGCGCCAAACGCGCAGAAGCAGCCTCGAGGGTTTGAGGGTTGTAGAAGGGGACGTCTTTGCACATGGAATGTCCTTGGGCTTCAGTGTTTGGAAGGAAGAATCCTGCTTTGCTGCTGAGAATCTTAGCGCCTATCCTCGTTTGTTGGGCGATTTCTCTAGACCGCATAGGCAAACGATGGGGATGTCTTTGTGTTGGACCCTTTGAATGTCTAAAATTGGGACCGGTCCTTTTGAACAACCCTCACATCACCGGCGACCTGTAAGAAATTAACAGGTTTGTTCTTGCACAGCTGCGCATGCCTTTGGCCTGACCCTGTCTCAACCTCCTTTGGCAAGTTCACGTGCCTGTACACTCCTATTCAGCATCGGGAAGGCATCCGCGCGTGCAAGATATCTCAGCCAAGACAAGCCAGGGGTGCGAGCCCCGCTTGGTGGTTCCAGCAGAACATGCTTGCACGCCTTCTGTAAAGAGAGTTGCTTTCGATTGCAAAATTCGTAAGGCTCCCAAGTGGTGACATGAACAATGTCACATTTGCACGTGCCTTCCCATCTTGCAATGTAAGGGACTGGCACGCCATACACGGCATCGGCCAGTCCCGGAGGCTGACCAAGGGTGTGTAACACATGGCAGGCAGAGTGAAACGCACGCGCGGAACCACCCAAGGTGCGTTTCTGGTCGCGCGATCCATAACATGCGTAAAATCCTTCGAGCTTGGCTGTGGTCATAGCTCAAAGCTAGGTTGGGGAGCTGCATTTTTCCAGCTCACTTGCCCGTGGCGGTGCCTCCCGTCTTTGGACAATGTGCAAATGCCAAGGGGTTCATACCACCCATGAATGCATTGTGGGAGTGTGACGTCATTCACGGCAGGTCGCTCCAATGCTGCACCCAGCCGAGCATTGCCAAGCTAGTGTAGAGAAGGATGACTCGGCTGATGTCAATGATGGTGCCGGAGCACCACAAAGGAAGAGCACTGTAGTGAGCGACAAGCTTTTCGCCGCAAGGGGTAAAGTTGGCTCCAACATGTTATTTGCAGATCAGATTGCGGGTTTTGCACGATAGCATCAGCTGCGGACATCACTGTCCATATCTGCCGGCAGGAAACAGAAGACGCCTGCCAGCAGTGTGTGCGATTTCCGGTTCTCGGATTTGAGGGCGACGCTATGTTAGTGCGGGGGCGGCTCCACCTCATTCAGGAGCAATGGCTAAGCTTGGATACGGCTGTATGGTTCTTGCCGGCCCAAGGCTTCCCAGAAGCATGCCCCCGCAATGGAAGAAGGGGCGTGCCCTCGGGAAAAAACATGTTCGGCGGCAAGTTCAAAGAGTGCCCAACGTAATTCGACATGAGCTTGCAGTCGCGAGATGAGATTCGGCATTCTGTGATGCGCAGGGTGCCTGAACCGTGGAAGCTGAACAGTGCGATGCCCGCGGTTTGCTGCGGGAAACAATTTAATCTTTGGGTGTCGTCGGCCTGCTTGTGATGCAAGGTGCCCTCGACTCAACTTGTTCCTGGTGCTGGCAAAGCGCTGTCCGGAGGGCTGCCTCGTGCCTAGCTCCTTTTGGGGGTTTTACTCCGCCTGACCAGGCTGAGAGTGAAGTTTGCATTCAGCAATACAGAAAAGGTGCCATCCAGCGGCGCACGAGAGGGGGGGCAAGGGGCGGCCAGGTTATTTGAGTTGCGCAACAAGACAATTTTCCGGAAAGAAGAGGCTGATGAGTCAACCGTGTAGAGAAACCCAGGAGTGTTGGGAAGCCAACCCCAAAAAAAAACAGGCACGCTCTGAACGGAGCCAGGGAATGTACAAGTATGAGCACGTGCGGTCAAGGAAGCCTAGGAACAAAACAAAGAAGTCAGTGTGCAAATATGTGTTCGAGGGAATCTTTCGTTGCGTGCGTTTTATTTACACTATGGTCATGCCATTTATTCTTCATAATGCGCACGTGCATTTTATCCCCTCTACCTGACAGCAATTCCATTTTTCCAGTCTGCCCCGTGAAAGAGAAAATGGAACCGAATGGAACTGCAAATGGAATTCCAGAAGTCATCCCCTCCCCGAATTATTTGTTCAACGTTTGGGTTTGAATTATACTTCTTGTATATCTTGTTTGCATAATCCTTCAGTGCGTGTTGTTGCACGTTCTTTGCAGAGGTGAGCACAAATCATCACAAATCATCACAAATCCTTTGCGTTTCCTCTGCCCAGATCCAAGCATGTACTTGCATGTCTCTTTCGCCTTTTCAGTTTGCAGCCCTACGTCCGAGTAATGGGTAGCTAAGGCCGCAGACAAAATGTACTTGCTTCAGAACGGCCAAGGCGTGCTTGAGAACAAGGAGAAGCTATTTAGTGTTGGGATGTACTTGGATCAATTCTTGGAGAAATCCGGCGAGCCAGGGCGCAGCAACAGTACTTTTCCAGCGGCTGCACGCGACTTGTTTTATTGCTCGTTGGCTTTTGCGAGCTCGTGAATCGCTTGGCAGCACACACACGGCAGCGCGAATAGGGTATGACACGCCTGTAGCCAGCATGTAGCCAGCATGGGATTCCCAAGATCAGTGTTTCCGTGAAGGGGCCGGATCCCAAAGGGCGCTTCTCTTTTTTTTTGGGGCCCGGGGCTACAGCTTTGCGCCTGCGCTGGCATATGGAAAGGGGGGACGCTCATAAAGTGGCAGCTGTTTTCCTTGAAAACCATCCAACAACGAAGGACGTCTCCGCTTTTCCAGACCTCGTTGAGCCCGTGAGCCATGCGTCGCCTGATTACCCCTCGTGCGTTTCTTCGAGGCTCGAAACGTGGAAAGTGGGGCTGGGCACAGGTAGGCCAAAAGACGCTGAAGCAAGCTGCAAAGATGATAGGGTGCAGTGGCTGGCCTCGGAGAAAAGCGTCAGCCAGATCCTTGCCCTAGAAAATACCCGTTGTGGACAAATGGATGACAAGTAGGACATCGGCTTGGTGCTAATATTGAGAACCCACTGCAATTTAAAAACATTGTGGGTGGCCTTGAATCCTGAATTCGAGTGTGGGAAAGAGAAGGGATCCCGCCAGGCATTTCCCCCAGTTTCAGTCCCCTTCGGAATCAATCGCAGTTTAGCGCCGCGCGATGCGAAGGTTTGCCTCTCAGTTGCATGTGCGAGGCCAGGGGCCGCGGTGTTTGCAGGCTGGGGCCTCATTGGGCGAGCGCCAAACCCGCCACAACCTGGGCCCATCGGGCGATTTTCACGGGGACGGCTCTCAAGGGCGCGGCCACTTTTTCCGTTTTTTTCTTCTTCTTTTTTTCCAAGCCTCACCTACGATCATTCAGGCGGTTTTTGGGGATTTGGGACCCCGGGTGGTGGTGGGTAAGTGGGAAGCCACCCACGCTCAGCTCCAAACCACTCAGACATTGGCGTCGGCAACCAGCCGCTGTGCGCAGCTGCAGGCCTGGGAGAGCCGCGGTGGGGCTTTTGTTTTATGGGAATGTGGAGATCCTAGGGTCTAGTTGGCGAATCTTTTTCCGCACGCGCGCCAATCTGTTTCGGCCAGCTCTGCAGAGTTTGGGAGCGATTTGACCCGTTGGTGGTGGTTTCAGGCCGCTTTCAAAATCATGGCCGGGGAAATTGAAGCTGAATCATCAGGAGGTACAAGCTGTATCGCCCTGGGGGTGGGGGGGGGGGGTGGTCTGGGCCTAAATTTGTTGGGGGGGGAGGGGGGGAGGGGGGGAGCCGTTCCCTTCCGATGTCTTTCTTGGACCTTTCAAGTGGTTTCCGAGAGTTGTCTCGAGGCGAGCGGCCGGGCCGGCTTGGTGCCGGCCAGAGCCGAGCTGCAGGCCTCGGGCAGGCTTTGGGGGTGGAGGATTGGTAGGTGTTGTTTTTAAGGGATCCTAGGGTTCCGTGTTCCTAGCAAATAATCTTCAGGATTTTCAGGACGAACCTGTATTTGTGTTTAGTTTTACTTGAGGATTCCGCACCCACGCCAGATATGCTGTTATTTGGCGGAGCGTGGACAAATGGTAAAAGTGCACTTTTGGATGCACTTTCAGTATCAGTTTGTGCCGCAAGTTTTACCCGTTTGGTCCATCCCCGCCAAACAAGTCGTGTGTTTCTTTCTGAAAGCAAACGCATGTAATAATTCTACCTTAAAATGGGAGTCCGCAGGTTTGACATATGCAACCACGTGGATTTTTGCTTCCCTGTCCTATGGGCATTGTAAGTTTCCGGCTTCCCCAAAGCCAGGGGAGTGGCTGACCCTCGCTGGTCGCTCAGGAGATCCATGCGCAGGCGGGGCGGCGGGGGAAGCGGCTGATTCGCGCTTCGGGGGAAGCGGGAGCTGAGCGACCCGGATGCCCGAGGTCTCGAAGTTGGAGCCGAAGGCCCTGCTGGAAGGCTGGGGGTGGGTCCTACCCCTCACTCCAAATACCCACCTTTTGTTGGGGGATCATGTCGGCCCTCTACTAATCAAGGAGGTGTTTGCCTTAAAAAGAAACAGGCTTTCCAACAAATACCCTAGAAGAGGTGGGTATTTGGAGTAGGGGGTATGAGGGGCTGGTGTAGCATCCTGAGATTCTTTACGGCGCCTCTCACGACACGTCGCATACAACAGCTGCTAGCTTTCGTTCACCCCCTCCTCAAGTATGAGGGGCTTGGTCCATTGCCTGTTCCTTGATTAATTGGACGCTGTGCTTGTGGGTTGCGTTCGGCCAGGAGCCAACCTTAGTGACCTATGCATGCTGTGCAGGGCAGCAAGCCCAGCCGATGCTAGAAGCGCAGGTAGGCCGAGTGAGGATGGATGCGGAATGGATTTTATGAATAAAAGGGAAGTGTTCCCCTCCAAAAGTGATGATTCCTCACTAAATCTAGGCACACTCCCCTCTTCCTGGCCCTTTTCCAGTCGGCCTTCGAAACTCCACAGCAAGTTGCTCCGCGCGCCGCTGAGCGCCTTAGGTGCTCTCCAGCGCTTTGATGCCCTTGCAGGCCCGGCGCGTGTTTTTTTTTTTTCCCCAGGTTGCGGAGGGACTTTTTTCGGCGGGCCGAGTGCAGCTCCAGGCTCGGCGGAAGGCTTGCGATGTTTGTCGTTTCGTCCCTTCAGTGGAGACATTTTGGGAAGAGATGAGCATGCCATCTCAAGGGTCAATCGTTGTTGTGCAGAGTCCGCCGTCTACTGCGTCTTGCGCTAAATCACGTCCCTTTCAGCTATGTATGAGTGGCAGAAATTTGCATCAAGTTGCGCCGCCTAGAAAAGGAGCGTGCCGACTCCACGAAGTGGCTGACTCGTCCGGCTGTGGATTTATCAGGATCCATGGGCACTACTTTGGGGTTGGCCAAGAATCACATGCTTGCCTGTGTGCGGAGGTAGGATGGGATGCTGAACGCGCAAGCACGCGTGCATGCCACGTGCAACGGCACACGTGCACGAGCAGGCACTTGGATCACACATATGCGCGTTCTGCTATGCGAGAATATATATATATATATATATATATACACCTATTTATACATGCATAAATAGACATAGACATATTTATTGTCCCGCCAAATCTGGACAAGCATGCTTATGCAAAAGCGACACACACACACAAAAAGCACGGCACGGCTGATGCTAGCTGAACCTACCCAGCCTTCGGAGAGCAGGTTTTTAATCTCCCCCCCTAACAATTGTAATTTGAGGGGGGGAGTACCCCAGTGAAATTTCATTTTTTGTTGCACTTTTGAGGGGGGGGGGGTTGTGAAACACGGAGGGGCCCAACATAAACATGTTCGAAGGGGGGGGGGGACCCCGACCCAAACGGTTCTCCCGCTTGCGCCTGGGAGGACATTACTGGCCCTGGGGCCCCTCCAAAAACTGGTGCCTCTAAAACAAATTGGCTCGAAAACCACCAGAATAATCACAACGCTTCCAAGAATCTGCGGCTTGCGGGCTTTGAGCGGCCACCAAACCGAACGCTCGTCCCAGAAAAGGGTTGCATTTTTCTTCGGGGTTGGGGTCCACAATTGAAATATTTCAAGGGCTACCCCCCCAAAAAAAGAAATAAATTGCATTTTTTGAGGTCCCCCACTCCCCCCCCCCTTAGGGACGGGGATTAGGTTTTTGCAGTCGGATAGCTCTTTCGCCGCACATTTAAGCATTCGGGTTTCGGGGGTGAAGTGTGGTGAAGTTGGACCGCATGGCATGCATTGAACATTCAGACATTGCGTCGCACCCAGCCGGCCGCTTGACGGCAAAATGCTCGGGGTCAGGTTCAACGTCTGGTCTTAGTTTTGACTTGTGGCTGTGGGTCAAAACCAATGGGATCCCATTTTGGGGTAGGTGAATTCACCACCCATTTTAGAACCTATTTTAGAGGTTGGATTGGTTGATGTTCACTGGGGGCTAACCGATTTGGATTTTGACCCATGGTCATATGAGTCGCAGGCCACAACCTGAGCTGGCCTTGCTGTAGGCGCAGCTGCTGGAGGAAGTGGGGCAGAAAGCCGTGCAGACAGGCCGGGCATGTGGAAAGAGCGGTTGCTCTACCCGGTGTGTTTTTTGTGTGTTGATCATGGGGGCTGGGGGGGAGGGAGGAGGGAGCCCAAATAAGCCATAAATTATGCCTTATTAAGGGCTTAAACATGGCTTATTTGGGCTCCCTCCCCCCTCTGCTCCCCCCCGACCCCCCCCCAGCCCCATGAGTTGATCCTGCTTCTGCGTTTTGCCATGCCAATGCTTGGGCTTGAAAGTTTACCCAGTTTCATCCGTGCGGGCCAGGACCGGACAACTTTCGACGCTTCATACACAGTTTTTGTTGCCTGGGCGCAGTTGGTTCTGAAGGCTTATCAATTGTTCACAAGCCGCATGTTTCCGCGCACGCCCTGCATGTGAAGTTCAGCCGGGCACCCCACGTTCCAGGCACCCCCGACGCCGCTGCGAACTTCGCCTTGGCTGCCTGTGAGGTGGGCATTTGTGGTGTCGAAAGGTGGAAAGCAAGCGGGTGGCCTGGCCTTGGGTGCGTGTACTGAAGGATCTTGTAGGGGAACAAACCTTGAACACGCCCAGCAGCGCAAGAGAGGTGATTAATGTTGAAGCGGGTCACATGGAAGTCGTGATCGATGTGTTGGGGAAGCTCCGCCCATGACCTTTGCTCCTTGTCAGGCTGGTCACAGCGAATTGGGAGGGCAGGTGGTTGAAGTCTGCTCCTAAGCGACTCTCGTGCGGCTGTTCCATTCCAGGCCGCTATCATGGATTGTGTGAGTGGCCGGCAGTAGTTTGCTCAGTCTGATTCTATTCCGGCATCAGTGGCAAGCAATGATGCATGAACACCCATTGGGCATGACATGCCCAATTCATTTTCAGGCATGATGGCCCTAGTAGCGTGAGTGCAGGTGCGCTGCCGAGTCCTTGAAAATCGTCATGTTGCGTCTGAGCTGGGGTTTGAAGATTGTAAGCCAAACAGGAGGCCACCCCGTACATCATTTTCAACCACCAGTTGAGCGGCAGGCAATGAGGAGCAGTGCAGTGACAGCGTTTGATGGTGGCACTGAGATGTTTGCCGCCTCTTCTGGGAGAGTGCTGATGGCAGCGAACTTCAGGGATAAGAGGATTGGTCAGCCGTGTCACTAACCTTGAACCGTTTCTGAAGGCCCCCCCTTTTGGGTATCAGGCCCAACGTCACGGCGTACCTCACGTGACAACATCACCAAATGTGTAGGGGTCTGCCTGAAATGTCGCCCGGGGCCGAGGCCATGCGGTCTGCCGTGGGCTCCGACTCAGCGCAGCGGCCCCAAGCGACAGGCAAAGGCCTTGGCCCGCTACAAAGGTGCTCTGAGGCTGAAGCAATTCGGAACTGAAATGGCTGTGGGTCAAAACCCTGTAACTTTGGTGAACATCAAAATAAGTGGTACATGGACCATAGATATTCGTCCGCCCCAAAATGGAGGCAGGTTATGACCCATGGCCAAATTATTTGATGCTTGGTAGCTGTTGATGTCTTTAAGGTAGCCTGACCCTGCTGGACTAATGGATGTTGCTGGACCCCGCGAGTTTGGACATGTTCTCGTCCAGGGTTGTTTTCTTGTTTCTTCCACAGGCCCTGTTTTAAAGCGTGTCGTTTTGTTGGCTGCTGGGCCTCTTGTTTAGGCAGGGGGAAGGATGTTTGTTCCGGATCGCTCTTTGCCCAGGCTCAGCGGCGGAGGCACGAGTGTACGCACATGGGAAAGAGTTGGATGTTGAAAGCGGCGGGGGGCCGGGGGGAGGGGTTCAGTTGCACCAAAGCAGGTTTGCGCGACTTAAATGTTGAGCAGCAACATGGACTATGTGTGCTGGCCGGTGGGCTTGCAAGCTGTTCTCTCTGCGCTGGCATATCTTGGGCTCGTGTGTTTTGCTTTTGCAAACCCAGCCGGCAGCAGTCCAGCATTCCATGTGCAGTGTTGACTTGAAAAAGACACGCGACTGCACGAAGATGATGCGAGACGGGCTGAGCATTAAATGTTCATGGGGTTTTGTAGTTCACCTTGCTATCCGCATAGAAACCAGTAGCGGACTCGCAACAACGATACCCTTGCACGAAACCCTGGCAAAATGCAGAAGCTGCCCGCAGCAATTGCGCTAGGAGGGTCTGAGCTGCGCGGAGTTTCTTTTTGTTGCTCGGCGTTGGAGGCAACGGCGTCGAAGAAAGATCTATCAACACCTGGAGCCCGGCACAGAATTCACCCCTACGGCCTTGCAGGTTCCAGTCGCTCGGCCTGTCCGGCTTCATGTTTTCCACCCTTCCAGCATTTGGCATTGCAAGATCAAAGTGTCCCTAGTAAGTAGAAGCAAATGAAGCAAATGAAGAGTTCGGGCAATTGTCCTGATGCTGCGTCCTGACATTGCCGCCCTCAGCATGTGGTTTGCTTACTCATGTAGGCTTTCTCCCAACTCAAGTTCACCGCATCATCCCGAGTGTTGCCTCCGAATAGTTTCAGGATCTCGTTTCGATTTGCGCCCGATGTTCTTCCCAAGCTTTGAATGTAACATGCTCATTCTGTGGGTTTGCTGTCTGTCCTAGGCGCTAAGTGTTCCCTAACACTGATACATGTTGCACAATTATCTCTATTGTGGCATCGTCTTTAAAGTGTAGGCTGCGGAGCGGAAAGGCATAAACAATGCTCGCCGCAGCTTCGGGCAGCAATGGGGTTTGGGGGGCCATGTCAAACACTGTGCTTGCCACTCTTTGGACTGGTTTTGCTTTGTGCAGGTTCCCTGGTTTAGTCCAGCCAAAGAATCGCCTTTGGGTGAAACATCTGGTTTTCGGATGCATCTTTCCGGGATTCCCCCCAGCAAAGCCCCTGGTTTGTCCGTTTGCTTGGCATCCAGGCGCAGCCAGCTTGGCGCTCGCGGCCGCGGCCGCCAAAGTGCTGGATGCGACGCTGCTGGAGGCGCGGGAGGTCGCAAGTTGCTTCCCATGCTGCAGGGGAGGGGAGGGGAGGGAGGGAGGTCTCAATATTATGGCCTTACTGTGGATGGACGAAATCCTGCACCACCTCAGAGACCCTGGAATGATCATTCCCCTGTAAATGCCAGAATAAATGATGGTTTCCTTTGCTTTCAACGTGGTGCAGGATTTTGTCCATCCACAGTATTAAGGGCTTAATAAGGGCATATTTGCCCCCCCTCCCCTCAACCCCCATGAATGACGGACGTCTCCAAGAGGTGGGCGTCCTTTTTGGCTTGAAGCATGTCCGAGTTCTAGCGGTTGATTTTGGAGTTCGAGTGGGGATTCCTCGCCTTTTAATGCAGGCTGACTTTGAGCTCAAGCTCCCAAATAAATGGTTGGAGAGTCTGGAGTTGGACAAGGGGCCAACCAATTGACCACTTGGACTTGGACCTGCACATGGCATTGGAATGCTCTGAAGAAGAGGGCGTGCCTTCATCAAAACTGGGGCCTGCTTGTGCAAGGCAGACACAGGTCACAATTCATGAGGTGCAAGCCTAAACACACCTACCAGGAAGCAAGCTTTAGTGTGTTGGCTGAGGTCTTTTCTGCATGCGAGTGCCCAACCCCCTTCCATCTCTGGCGGCGAAGAAGTGGGTATGGGTCAAAATTTAACCACCACTTGGTTCCATTTATCGATCGGGCAAGCCATTTTGGGGTCACCCCATTTTTGACCCACAGCCAAGTGAGGACCTCCGTGCTGACCAGTTGGGTTTTTGGGCGCTGTGCGCCCAGCCGTCCAGGCGTTGGTGCGCAGGTGTTCAGCGCGGACGCCTAGGGTTGGCCTCAGAATCCGCGGCTCTTGCAAGAAACACGGATGCACAGAGATGGACTTCAGGGATAGAAATGGCGCTGTTGAAAGACCTGGCAGTCAGCCCTTTGCTTTACGCGCGCCATTCTTGCGCAAAGGCAGCTTACGAGAGAACCGTTGCACAAGTGGAATGAAGCAATGCTTTGACCAAGTTTGACGGTGCAACTGGCTGCTAGTTTAACGTTCTACGGTTTCCGTTGGCTGGCCGCTTGGTCAGTCAGTTGGCTGAAAGGGGAAGATGTCCAGGGTCCGACAGTTGGCTGGAGTGGGATTGCATGGGTGCATGGGCAAGCGAGAGGGTGCGAGGGATGATCGGTTGGATGGCTGCTCGGTTCCCGGTTATACTTTCGTGATGCACAGCTGCCGGGGCCCTAGGCCCGAGAAATGGAACTGAGCGCCACGCATTTGGGCGATCTTCGGCTTTGTGCTGTGCTGGCAGGCAGGAGCCTGCGCCTTAGTGCTACGACCCGAGCCCTTGCTACACAATGTATTTTTGGCGGGCCTTTGCATGTAGGGAGGGAACGCATTTTTGTGGGAGGTTTCCGCAGTGCTATTTGCGGCAGGTTCTTTGATGTATCTCAAGGAGCTCAATGTTTGATCATGTTTCCTGGGGAGGGCAGATGGAGTGAGTGACTGAGTGCTCCCAACATCTCCCAACCAAAGCGCCCAGGTGTGCTCGACAAGGCTGACAGCCAAGTCTTGAGCTTCCTGCGTGGGCCCTAGCTAGGAGCATGTCTCTTCTGTCTCTTCTGTTTCTCTCTCTCTCTCTCTCTCTCTCTCTCTATTGTGTTTGTATAGAACAGGTTAAACAACCGGGAAGGGTCACAATTGAACCCTGTACACAGCGCGCTTTTTCTTGAGCCATATGCAGTCGTAATGATGAGACTGCACAAGTGAGACATTCATGCATTGGGGTTTTACATGGTTGATAAATACATCACGTTGCAAACTACACCCCCCGTGCCCGAACGTGAAACAGGAGGACAAATGAAAGGGATGAAACAACCAAAGAAACCCGATAGGCATGAAGTCCTTTTGCAGCACACAAGCACTTGGATGCGAGCAATCGGCAGTTAAGGTCTTCCGCCTCCACTGACCGTCGCTCTCGCGAGGCGTGCTCATGCACTGTACATTGATCCTCGGCCAACATGATTGAGAAGTATAATGAATATTGAATTTGAAATGTAAATGGATGTCAGCCGAAGATTGAAAAGATTGTTGAAGAGATCGCTCATTCATCGCCAATCCCAATTGCGGGAGCTCTTCCACGGGCGCTGATCATCAGACCACCACGAGTCCCAGGATTGGCCCCAGCTTCCCCAGTACGACTGGCTCCATTGACGATCTTGCCATTGGCCACCGGTCTCCCGGAGCTGCGGAATGGGCTTGCGCGTCACACCGACAACTGCAGGGAGCGGGGTGGCTCGTTCAGGGATCTCGATGTTGGGGATCTCCTCTTCGACGAAGCAGAGCAACTCAACCAATACCATTTCGGGGTCTCCCACAGACGAGAAATCCCGGGTCCAGCCCATCACGGGGTAGCGGTTGCTCTTGTCAAGGCTTCCATACAATGCAGCAAATTGTTCTGGTTCCAGAAATCTGCCACCATGCACAACATAGACGTCCTTCGGATCGACCTCCTGCACGTCCTCCGTTGGCGGCGCCAGCGTTAGCCGTGCGTGATATTTCGGCACAGCAACGCTTCCTTGGATCATTTCCTTGGTTCTCACGAAACTCGGAATAATGCATCGTGCCACCTTCTCGATGAACTCGAGGGCGGACGGCGTCAGGTCTCCCCGCGCGGCAGTGTAGGCATAGAAGGGGTCATTGATCAGCCTCTCGTACAGCGTGGTGTACTCCTTGTTGCGAAGAACCGCTTTCTTGGCGATGTCCTTCATGATGCCGAGGCCCCCTCTTGCGCTTCGATCTCCCCGCGCATCCTTCCGCTGCGTCAATATCTGAGTCTCAACCTGGTCCATGGAAAGCGGCACGCCCAAGCTGTTGGCCATCTCCTGCAAACGGACGACCCTGGCTATTTTCTTGATATCGGGCATGCGTTCCATCAGCTGGTCACACTGAAAACAGTTGATGGTGCCGACCGGGATGAGGATTTTGCAGCGAGGGCACTCAACGTCGGGGATGTGCATGACCTCCGCGAAGCGCCAATTTGTCGACTTCTGCTTGTTGGGATCCAAGTCCTGCCACAAACCACTCCGGCCTCGGGTTTCCCCGGGCTGCTGCGTCACAGCTCGGGCCCAGTTCCTGTAGAGGCCATAGCGGGCGGTCTCGAATTCAAGCGCGACCTGCTCTTCTTTCGGGAGGTTCTCGTCGTAGACGTCCCTGACCTTCGTCACATTGCCAATGCGGTGGGGCCGCGTCATGTCGCGGCACGCTGTCGGAGCCCACTGTTTGTAATAGAGCTTGCACTCCTTCTCGGCCTTCGCCATGAACGATTCCAGCACTGGGGTCCCGACAACGCCCTTCTGGGTCTCTTCCCGATACTTCTTGATGCTGTCCTGGTAATTCCGTCTGACGCTGACGTACATCCGGTTGGACCAGATAAACTTTGCACATTCAGCGTCATAGGCGTAAATGAGGACCTTGTTCGTGATCCAATCCTCCGTCACCAGGGCTTCCCCGTCTCCGGGTGCGTACAGCCGACATCCCAATTGGATCAACATCTCCACATCGACGGCGATGTTGATGGGTCGGTCAGCACGCGCACCCCCCGCCTTCCGGCCATGCCTGTCCCAAGGAGGCACTACCGTCAGGTAGGCGTGACCACGCGAGGTTTGCCGGTCTCCCATTCCGCCCGGAAAGATGCCCATGTAGATGATGTCAAAGAAATTCTGCATGTTGCACGTGTGGTAGGCGATTTTGGGCAGCGCCTTTCGGCGTGCGTCCGAGAAATCTTTGCAGAAGCCCGGTCGCACACCCTTCTTTGCGTGCTCAATGGTGTAATTGACATCCATTGCAATGGGATCTCCAGGAATATTGTCAAAGCCGCTGGCCTCGGTCACCCAATCGTTGTGGCCGGTGAACGCGCGAATGCGTAGCGGCATGAAACTGAGCCCGTTCCATTGCTGCCCGGCCGGCGCGTACTCGACATAGACCTCGAACCGATTCGATGTGGACGTGGCCTGAAGAAGAGTGTATTGGGTGCAGTTCCAGTCATATCGACGTTGGATCCATTTGGCGACGGCTGCGTAGTCGAAGGAGTTGTCCTTGAGATTGATCTCAGGGATGGATCGCGTCGCATGTTCGTGGGCATGTCCGCGAACCAAATACGACACCTTCTTGCTCAAGAACGTCCTTCTGCCATAGTTCTGGATCTGGGGAATCTTGATTCCTGAGCACTTGATCCACTCCCTCTTGGGTTCAGCAGCCTGGCCACGGGTCTCCCCAGGCTTTCCAGCAGCTTTGGAAACTGCCTTCGCCTTGGGGGTGATCTCCGGGCCACGGATCTCTCCGGGCTGAGTCTTGCTGGTCCCAGCCCCGAACGCCTGATCGCTGGATGAGGCAGCAGGCATTGGCATCGCCTTTGATTTCACCTTTGGTGTCGCAGCACTGAGAGCTGCAGTCATTTTGTTATGACTTTTCCGCTTGGACGAGCTTGATTTGGCCGTCCTCACCGATGTCGTTCGGATCCACTGCGGCAACCTCAACGGCCTGGCCTTTCGGCCGGCTGACCTTAGGCTGAGAGCCAGGGGGCAGGTCGAAGCTGATCAGGTCCTCCTCATCCGAAGAAGAAGACCAATCAATCACATCGTTGAGGCCGCTGACGGTCGCCGCGTGAATGTCGGGCTGCATCATCTGCAAGATCTTTGCTTCCTCCTTGACGGTGTCAAGGGGGTAGAGGGGGTTTGCCTCCTTTTCAGTCTCCAGGAAAACCTCGCGCTTCGGCTCTTGCGCGGCGATTTGGTTGATCGCCTCCAACTCCCTCTCACGGACCTCATTGTCGAACGGGTCCTCAGGGTTCTAATTGCCGGACCGCCAGTTTCCTGGGGTGTAGCGCCAACGATCGGGATTGATTGTGTCAATATTCATGTATTCCCTTTCGAGGCGGTACCAATTCATCGCCATTTCGAAGCGGTTGATTTGGCCAATGCAGTACCCGAGCTTCGCGGCGGCCACATAGTAATTGATGTAGTGTTTCCTGTTGCGCTCGGTGTCATCGGTGTGGATGCGGTCTGCCCGGGACGTGTTGGATATGAGAGTCTGGGGGTCGAGGACGGTGATTCCCGCGGAACCATGCAACAAACGTGCATGACCGTCCATTTGAGTCTTATAAGATTCACTCAATCCATACGTCTCAAAGTCCCGAGGTACGATGAGCACGACCTGGACCACGTCTTCCCGGAAAGCAATATGGCGTAGCCGGTCACGGACAGTCATCACTGCTCGGGCGTTCCTTTCGATGATGTCCATCGCAGCCTTCCGCTTTGCCTCGGAGTCAGTGGCCCAGCCCGCTAGGGCGGCGGGGTTGTCGATGTAACCGTTACGACCGACAACATCATTTCCAGACCAGGAGATCACGATGACGTACGGCCGGGGCTCAGGCCTTTCGGCGAGCTTTAGCATTGCCCGCTCAGCGGCATCAAGAGATTCCGCCAGTCCTTTGCCCCATGTCATTTCGGACCAGACCTCGTGCTTGTGCCCAAATAGCGTCCGCTTATTCTCCTTGATGATGGTGCCAACATCTGTCTTTGCTCCATCTTTGACCAATGCATTGAAGGAGTCGCCGAAAAACAGATAGTTGACCGCGGGTTTCCCCGGGCAGAAGAGGATATCGAAAGCCTCAGCCGGAGCCTCTTTGAGAATTCCCGCAGTACCTGTCAACGATGACATGGCATTCTTGGCGAGAGCCAGCGCGTCGGTACGTTCACTCATCTTGGCAAGGTCGACACCGGAGTTCACGTCCTTGACGATGAATGATTGAGTTGCCGCATCACGGAACATGTCTGACCAAGCCTCTCGGTTGGCGACGCGCAGCTCGTCGGGGATGACCTCGGCCTTCACCTTCCCATCGTGCAGGATGTAGTCCGAGCCGTAGTCAACTCGAGCGAGCGGCACATCTTTGGAGAATGCCGGGCGTACCGTCTTCAAGGCCTTCTCCACTGGCATCAGCCATGGTCGCAACAAGTATCCGTGTTTGGACAACCTTTTCTTGAACCGACACTGCATAAGCAAAAGCCTTGTGAATCAAGTCAGTCATGACGTAAGTGTAGGATTCAGTATTTTTGAGATTCCGTCCCCTACCTTCGGCATGTTGGACAGTGCAAGAACACACTCTTCCATCAAGGTAATTGTGGAGGCAATGCATGTTGGTCTTCACGGTCCATGGTTTCTTCATTGGAATCCCATCAGACACAACGTCAAATTTAACAGAAGTCATGTTGTTTCGAATTACGAACTTGTCAACAGCCTTATCGTCCCAATAAGTGCAACTCCTAGGCCATTCAATAGCAATCAACGGTTTGGCGAATTCCATTGAGTTCACGAGGTCAACGAAGGCAGACCAAATTCTTTTGTAAATGGATCGATGTCGCTTCACCTTCTCTTTCGCCGTGTCATGATTCATGTTAATATGAGACCAAGCAGTTCCGCCAGTGCAAGGGATACTTGCCCATAATAAAACAGGAATGAAGCCCTTGTTGCCGATAGAGCGGATATGCTTCACCTCGTCAACGACACGCTTACGAGTGGCATG